AAATGTAAACTAGATAGCTAGTGGGAAGCAGCCACATAGCACAGGGAGATCAGCTCAGTTCTTTGTGACCACCTATAGGGGTGGGATAGGGAGAGTGGGAAGGAGACGCAAGAGGGAGGGGATATGGGGATATATGTATACGTATAGCTGATTCACTTTGTTATAAAGCAGAAACTAACACCCCATTGTAAAGCAATTATACTCCAATAAAGATGTTTAAAAAAATTGTAATGCAAAAAGAAAAAAAGAAAAGAAATGCACAGGGTATTGAGAGGTGTACCCAGAAGGTGTTTGCCTCTGTATTGCAGTATAGTTAACCCTAGTCTGAGCACTGCTCAGGTCCCACTTGTTAAAAGTAAGACCCAAATGGATGAAACTGTTTCCAGGTAATTTGACTGCCTCCCAGAATAGACGATCTGGGAGGTCAGCTTAGTGATCAGACTGCTTAGTGAGCGTGGATGAAAGCAAAGGGGAAAGTGCAGTCCGGAGGGCTGGGTCGCCCAGGCAAACTGTACCCACCTCCCCTGCCGAAGCACAACTTGACACTTCTCCAGGGACCACACGGCCTGTCCCCGAGGTCCAGCCCCTTTCCTGGGGTAAATCCAACCAGACTACCAATTTCAAGGTTCCACTTTATAGGTTATATATAGCATATTAATTTGGATTCAAGATTTTATATTCAAGTTTCCCAAAGCCTTGACTGACTACGAATGTTTTCAAACCTCTTAAGTCACACATTTGCATGACTCTGGGTAGGTGACATCATTACACGTTGACCCTCCTAATTTCCTCCTTAGAGTGTAACCTCATGTCTTATGTGATAGGGTACCTTTATCACATCTCTGCACTAACTAGTGTTGTGGATGAGAAATATTAAGAAATATCATGAAGGAAGTAAAAGAGTAGTGCTCTATAGAAAGGAATTAAAGTAACAACTAATCTACTAGTTCTTAAGAATATAGTTGTAGTATAATGTCTTCTAAGCTTTGCACATGGGAGGCATCCAGTAAATATTTGTTGAATGAATGAATATTTTTATTTAATATTGGTTTCAAACTATAATGACATTATGTTATTTACTATTATTGAAAATCCATTTTAAAAGATTTTAATATTTCCTTTCTTGAGATCATATTTTATTTTATATTCAGTAAATTAGACTTTGGTTGCAAAGGTAGAAATTAAAACAAGATTTTTTATTTTTAGTTTGAAGCACTATTTGCTTATTAGAATATGTAATATATATTATTCACTACTTTAATATTTATTTATTTATTTGGTCGCGCTGGGTGTTAGTTGCAGCAGGCGGGCTCCTTAGTTGCACCTCACGGGCTCCTCAGTTGTGGCATGCGAACTCCTAGTTGTAGCATGCGTGTGGGATCTAGCTCCCAGACCAGGGATCGAACCCAGGCCCCCTGCATTGGGAGCACAGAGTCTTATCCACTGCGCCACCAGGGGAGTCCCTGTTCATTACTTTTGAATTTAATACGTTAACAACTTATCTCTGATCTGTGAGGCTTCTTTATTTGTAGGAACCTGAATCACTTCATCCTAGCCATTCACCAGAATCTTCCAGCCAGACTGCTGATGAGTACCAACCAGCTGGTGGTAGTTTTTTTAAAACAGTTTTAAAGATGGGGAAATGAAAAGCCTAGAATTGCCCCGAAGTGTAGACTTGGAATTGCCTGTGAGAATTGCTTAGAGTGACAGGTCAAGTCTATGTCCCCACACTTCTCCTTTGAGATCTCAGTTTGTTCCTTAATTCTTTGTCATGACAGAAAGTCAGAAGGAAAAAAAAATGCATCCTCACACTGGAAGGGAGCAAGGTAGTGAGGCATTCTGTGAGGTCCATCATCTCCCAGAACTTTCCCGAACCCACATAGACCCCTTAGAGCAGTGTTTCCAAAGTATGGGTCATGACCTGTGAGTCCTGAAATCAATTTGATGGGTCACTAGATGTAGTGGTTCACCAGAAAATTTTCTGATGAAATAGAGTAGAAACAGAATGCATTACACATAGTGAAGAGCTAAACATTGTTTTACAGCAATGTTTTGTTTCAGTTATAAATATGAGTGTGTACTACATGTGCATGTGTACCTGTGCTGGGTAAATAGATTATGATAAATATGGTAAATAGTAGATTGTGGTCAAAAAAGTTTGAAATCTTCTGCCTTAAGGGACTCAGCTTCCAAGGTCAGGGAAGGCAAGAAGACCTCAGCAGAAAGAAAACTCTATCACAGAGAACCTCTTTCCAAACCACTAAAATATCATGGCTCAGCAGTGAGCAGTACAGTGTAGTGTAGTGGTTAAGAGCATACCCAGGCTTTGGAGATAGACTTAGGGAGAAATCTCAATCCTTGCGTTCACTAGCTGCAGGACAGGTATCTACAAGTGGGAATCATGGTTGTACTCTTACCTGTTACCTGGTGATGTTGTATGGATTAAATGCAGTAGCACATCCAAAGGCCTTAGCATGTTTCCTAGACCACAGCAAGCTCTCATGAATGATACCTGTACATAAGGGATCGATGGTTCCTTTAGTATCCAAAGTGAAGAAAGGAAATGGAAACTAAGATTTTCTGAAAGTCTCCTATGTGCCAGGAATGTCAAGAAATCTTACTCAAGTTCTCTTATTTAAGGACTACTCTAGAAGTTTTGTGTTCTTCAGTGTTAGAAAGGTCAAGCTATGCCTCCATAGCTAATTCAGGATTCAAACCTAGGACTGCTTATGTCAAAACCCACGCAGGGTGATTATCAAAGAATAGTTACGATGATGACCATGAAAAGGAAGAAAAAATAAATTATTTTTTAAACCCAAGATCATAACCCTTTTCCTTTTAATCGTTTCTAGTGCATCACTCATCAAACCTGTTGTGGCTCCTGGTGGTATTATTTGAACACTAGGATAGTTTCAGGGTTATCACCATCCACTGGAATGTTAGACCAAGAAGACAGGGGTTTCTCTTTGTTTACTGCTGCATCCCCAGTGCGTAGAACCAAGAAATATTTGTTGAATGAGTGAATGAATGAATTCCTGTTCTACAGAAACCTACACCCATAGTTGGTTTAAAGGAACATAGCACAAAAATAGTTGCTGAGTCTTTAAGAGAATCCATCTATCTGGTGATGGCAATGACTCTGGAACTGCCCAAAGACACATGAGAGCCATGTTTACATGGAACTACCTCTTTGTAACAACAGAATATTATTTGGCTCTCAAACCTATATTTATTTCTTGCCCCATAGTACTGGGTTATAAAGTAATAGAGTAGAAGACATATTAAGACCATAAAATACCCAGGCCATTTCTGAGGTCTTGAGAATCAGACCCCAGCAGGACCTAAGAGTGTGTTTTATCAGTGATGTTGGCCGCTACCTAACAGAGGACCCCAGGAGCAAACCATCATGTTCAAGCAGATCGTTGTCCAAAATATATAATATAAAAAGAGAGGAGAAAACTTTATTTGGAACATATTCTACGAAGTGATTGATTAGATTTGCCTCCATTGAAATCCATTTACAGAGAAAATTATATTAAACATCATCTACTGAAGGAACCAACAAAATCTTCATCATCGTCAGATTTTTAAGGAAGGAATAAGCAGCTCTCTTTCTTCACTGAGGTTGAGGACAGTCTTACTTTCAGGCAGGGGATGGACTAGATGTCCTTGTTGGGTCCTTCCCTAGTTTATCATGGCATCTTCGTCATCATTGAGTGTTTAGAAATCCCATGGAACAGTAGAGATACACAGCAGTATAAATGCAAGTTAAAGCTGAGAAGTGGATGTCTTTTACAAATGGGTTAGAAAATTGGGCATTCACTAGGAAAGCAGGCCATAGAGAAAACATAGGAGACCAAAGATTTCAGGTCTCTATGCCTATAATTTTGAATCACTGCCATAAAAAAGGGGTCTATTGATGTCTGGGGAAACTGAAAATGGTCATGGTAAATGGAAGCTGTATGGTTCATTTACTGCTATAAAAGATTCCATCAGCTCTTCTGTAGGCTATTATAGCTGCATTTGAAAATGTGAATGTTCAAGTAAGATTCAATAGCAACTACCCAAGACTGGATTAAAAACTGTGTTTGATGGTTTATCATTTTTTAGAATGCTGGTGAATATAATGATTTACTAAAGAAATTTGAGTCAATTAAAAGGTTTGTTGCAGGAAATTGTTATAAATCTCTGGTTTGGTTTTGTTTCACAGTTTTTCACCTTTGAGCAGTACAAGAAATTGCTAGGATATGTGTCACTGTCACCAGCATTGGTAAGTGAGAGTATTTATTATACTTAAGTGTGTGTGTTATTTCATACAGCAAAATCTGGAAACAAAAGCCCTTTTGATTCCCCAAGCTCAGCTACTAAAATATGAATTCGAGTTATTCAATGTTCAGCTACTTGTTGAAAGCCATCTTCCTAATAACTCACAATTTGGCCATTTTATAGCTCCCAGTGATGAATTTATGATAATAATGATATATGTGGAAAGGCCCATATGAGATGTGGTCAAGAATATAAAGAGTACATTTGTCAAAGACTCTTTTGAAGCCAAAGCATGTGTATGTTTACATACATACTGCACATATCTATTTATGTGAAAGTCACTGTACCTAAAATTATTTCCTAACAGGTCACTTTTGCAGCTTTTGCTCAAGCTGTATTAACTATAGGACTTCAGGTCACTCTGTGGTCAGATGCAGGCTGAGGGGCCTTTTATAGTTGGGGAGAACAGTGATCTTACAATGACACATCTCAACTATTACATGAAAGTCATTTGGTGATTTGAACATTTGCTGATGCCACTCCTTTCCTTCTTCGTGATTTCGCTGCTTTTCACAAAACAAGTTAAATAATATTGACCAAATAGGTTCTATCAATATGCATGCAGCGAGAGCCCCAGAGAGAGCCAATGCACTAATTTCTCCCCCAAACCTGCAAAGCAAAACAAAACTAAACTAAACTAAATCTGCATTGGCCCTCCAATTGGCAATGTGTCTTCCAACGTCCAGGAAGATACCCCAGTTTACCTGCTGGAATGCACCTTAGAACTCAGCCAGAGGGGCAGAGTTCTGAGCTTCAACTCTTTCATTACTTTATTTCTGAAGATTCATTAAGAAGAAGTGGCTACTATTTAAAAAATCATACATACTCCCTTTCTAGGAAGGATCCAATTAAGAAACCTAATAGTGTCACTTTGTTTTATGACAAAGAAACCTCTGGTCCAGCCTCCTGCTTAAACAAGGGGGCTGTGAAGCGGCCTCTCATGGAAGGAGAAGTGGTAGCATGAGTCCTGAAATAAGCTGAGATTTTTTTTTTAATTCCTCAGTGTCTTCCCTGACTGTCTCCCTTTACTTTGAAAACATCTTGTTAAAAAGAGGATTAAAAACTTCCTAGCAGGGCTTCCCCGATGGCGCAGTGGTTAAGAATCCGCCTGCCAATGCAGGGGACACGGGTTCAAGCCCTGGTCCGGGAAGATCCCACAAGCTGCGGAGCAACTAAGCATGTGCGCCATAACTACTGAGCCTGTGCTCTAGAGCCTGCGAACCACAACTACTTAAGCTCGCGCACCTAGAGCCCATGCTCTGCAACAAGAGAAGCCACCACAATGAGAAACCCGTGCACCACAGTGAAGAGTAGCCCCTCTCTGCAACTAGAGAGCCCGTGCGTAGCAACGGAGACCCAACACAGCCAAAAATAAATAAATAAAACAAATAAATTTAAAAAAAAAAAAGAAGCCAATTCTAAAAAAAAAAAAAAATCTTCCTAGCAAAGGAAAGTAAAATACAGTTTCCAGAGGGCCGTGGCTGATCCTGTGTCAAGCATTGGTACCATGTGAGAGACTGCACTTCTGTCTTGAGAATTCAAACAGAAAAGCATTTGGCTACTTCAGCTCCTCTCACCGAATTCATGCAAACTGTATACAGTTTTTCTCTTTTCTTGAACTCATTTATTACAGTTTCTTTTTGATACAGCTAGACACTTAAACAGCCATTAAATGTCCCCTAGTGCTCTTACATGAAAAGCCTGGGAGGCTGGGAACCCAACAGTTACCGCTGGTCTCTGGAACAATCTGAGTAACATGATCCGCTGATAGCTGATCAATTCTTTTGACGAGGGACTGCTGAACACTAGTTCTGACAGCAAATGTAGCTGAGTTTTATAGAAGAACAAAAAAGTGAATTACTTGGAAGATTGCATATAGTAATAAAAACTTGAACATCTGGATTTTAGCTTTTTCAGTCAGAAGAGTTTGGGACTAGTATTTTTTTTTTTTCTGCCTTTGGATTCCATGATGGAAGTCTGAGGTAAATGAATAAAATATTTTGTCTGTTACCCTATACAAATATGTTTAAAATTGAAATAAAGGGGCATGAAAGGAAAACATTAGTTATTCCCTCTCTCCTAGAATCTGTATACAATCCCATTCTTCCTCATCATGCAACAGTAACAATGGTTTTGTACAGCACTTTACAAAAGGCCTTCACACATTATTTTGACCCTCAGAATAACCTTATTAAATCAAAGATTAGATATTGTTGTCTCCATTTTACAGATGAGAAAACAGTGGCTTATAAAAGACTCAGTGATTTTTTTTTCATGGAAAGGCATTTTATTTTAAATATAGCAGTGTGTACATGTCAATCCCAAACTCCCAATCTATCCCCCTCCCCTAACCTTCCCCCCCGACCATAACCATAAATTCATTCTCTAAGTCTGTGAGTCTGTTTTGTAAATAAGTTCATTTGTATCATTTTTTTAAGATTCTGTGTGTAAGTGATATCATGTGATATTTGTCTTTCTCTGTCTGACTTACTTCACTTAGTATGATAATCTCCATGTCCATCCATGTTGCTGCAAATGACATTATTTCATTCTTTTTAATGTCTGAGTAATATTCCATTGAATATATGTACCACATCTTCTTTAAAAGACTCAGTGATTTAAACACAGAGCTGCAGCTAACACAAACGGTGTTTTTGTGTGGATTATGAAAAGGTGCCCCTTTCTCCTGACTGATGCCTTTCTGGCTTCACAAGTAGGGTGCAGGCTGATTTCAGCCTCCACATGTAACTTTGTGCCCAAACTACTGTACATGGCATCTCTGGTCACACAGCCAATAAAGTGGCAAAACCAGAACCTAAACCCAGACCTCCTGGCTCTGGATCCTGCCCTTGTTCCACCTTGCCTCCCCTTCTAAGGTTATAGAACATTCCTTTCTCCCTTTTCTCTTTTAGTCTCCTACTTTGAAGAAATTAGAGACTCCGAATACAAGCATCTCTTCTTTACTCTTCATTGACTTTTTTTTTTCTCCTAGTTGTATACAGTATTACCTCTTCCCCTGAAATTAGAGCTTCAGCACCAAAGAATTATTTTTTTCAGCATCTCTTTTGAAGGTTTGAGGCTTTGTTTCATTTTGTTTTCCTGCTGTGTGTGTGTTTGTGTGTGTGTGTGTGCGTTTTAATAGTTGTGGTTATTTTTGATACAAAGTTTCTGAAAATCCTTTAAGCATTCTACTCAGTGGAAAATTCTAGAAAGTTGTTCTTTCCTACTGCAGAAGTTCTTAACAGATGACAAATAAGAACCTGATACACAGCCACCTTTTTTTTTTTTTTTTTTTAGGTACGCGGGCCTCTCACTGTTGTGGCCTCTCCCGTTGCGGAGCACAGGCTCCGGACGCGCAGGCTCAGCGGTCATGGCTCACGGGCCCAGCCACTCCGCGGCACATGGGATCTTCCCAGACCAGGGCGCGAACCCGTGTCCCCCACATCGGCAGGCGGACTCTCAAGCACTGCGCCACCAGGGAAGCCCCACAGCCACCTTTTGATAAATGTTCTAGATTTTATCTGAGCCCTTCAAGACAACCTATTTATCTCTGACCTCAACTTTTATTCCTCAGCTTCTAGGTCTAGAAGAATAGGGCAATTATCAGTTTAAAAAGTCAGATAAAGGATTAATTTTAAACTGTTTTTTTTTGTTTCTTAATCTCCTAGAATAATGACTCTAAGAATATGGCTATACATTTAAATATTTTTGGCTATACTGTTTGGTTACCTGAAATTTAGCTTTTTATAAGCATTTTATTCGTGGTTCTCCTCCTTGAATTTCTTATATGCTCAATAAATGTATTTAAGTAGATGTTTAAAAATGAAGCTCTCCTTTTTTGAGTCAAACTCTCTTTTAGTTGTTACATGTGCAGATGTTTTAGTATCCACCTTAAATAAGTAAAACAGCCTTTCTTTTCATTAAAGGACAAAGTCATTGTTGATGGGGCTTTGACATTTTATTTTGAATTGTTAGGATGTGGTTTGTGGCTTCTGTAATTTCTTCTTCATGAATTGTCAGCATCTAATCAAGATCTGAAGCTGTTTAGTAATGGTATGTGGTGCATTTATGTGAGTTTCTCCATTCTCATTATAACATTCAGCTGCACAGTGTAATGAGTAGGATGTTTAACCCCATACACATGATGACTTGTTTTAAAGTATTGATTGACTTAATTTTTCTAGACCTTTGCCATTGCTGGATTGGGATCTGGACTAACAGAAGCCATTGTGGTCAACCCTTTTGAGGTAGTAAAAGTTGGCTTGCAAGCCAATCGGAACAAATTTACAGAGGTAATCATTTAATGTTTTCCTGTTGTTGATGGAATGTAAAAATTATTTTTCAGAATATAATGTCAGATTATGAACCCAGCCCATAGCCACTTGTTAAAGCCATAGTAACTTATTGTTAAGGAAGTAGCATAAGAAAAAGTCAAATTTCTTCCACAAGGAAAGCGTTAACAAAAATGCACTGAAGTCTGATGGACACCGTAAAGCAACCATACTCCAATAAAAATTAATTAAAAAAAAGTCTAATGGACAAACACATGTTTAGACATTTTTATTTTAGAGTTGTAATGTAATCTATAATGACTTGTTTGGCTATGTTTTCTGTGCTTTTGGCAGAACTTCTATAGCAAAACCCACTAGGATGATAATATTGCTGTGCTTTAAAAAAAAAAAATTATGAATTCATTTGTAAAATTACCTGACTCCACACACTGCCCTCCCCCCAAAATTCTGATAATCTGTCAAGCTTGTCTTTTAGTTAAATCTGAATGAGCATACTACTAAACCTGTGTAGACGTCACCACTTGGAAATGATGGGTCTTGACATTTAGTCACTGGTACATGATGTTCCATGAAGACAGCTTGCCTTGGTCTGTGCTGCCTTCACTTCCTCGAAGTTGCCAAATAATTCCCTTTAAACCACCAAGTCCAACTGTTCTTGTTTTATTCTTTTGGGTGCCAAGCCCAAGGTAGGGAAAAAATAAGGGGATTGGCAGTCCAGGTCCTTTCTTAGCATTTGAATTTACTTCCACAACTGGGTAGCATGGTATAAATTGGGTTGGAGTATCTGCTGACCTGAATTTCTCCATAGAAAAGTTTCCCTGCCTACTACTTAAGCATCTGCTAATGGGTGGAGACCCCCCCCTCACTCCCACCCCACTTCCTGCCTGCTGCTACTGCCTGAGAGCTCCCTGGCAGCTTCTTGAGCAGGGGTGTGGGAACGGAGAGGGGCCCCCTACTCACCTGTAACTGCCAAGAGCTGCGGAGGACAGGGTTGGCCTGCTACAGCCGATGGTATCTACTCAGAGGATGTCAATCCTAATTAAGGAAGATTTTTTTGTTTTAAGTTTCAAAAGATTGTCTTAATTGCAGAGATATATAGCACTTCAGAAAAGGTTGAAAAATCCTGTATTGCCCTAGTCTCTGTTTCTGTTTTGCTTTTTCTCTATTCTTCCTTGAATGATGGGAAAAGATGGCAAGGACCAGGAACAAATAAAAAGAAACACTTTTAAATGTCCTGTCAATATGGAGCATTAAAGACAACCCCCATGGAATCTGCTCAAGGAAAATTTGGCTGGGAGAATTACCAGCTAGAAGAAAACTTGGGGCTCCCCATTCAGTGTCCCATTTTTACCCATTTGGAAGCTTGTCTTGGGACAGCAAGGAGTGAGCAAAAGAATACACAGGCCTGGGCTTCCCTGGTGGTGCAGTGGTTGAGAGTCCGCCTGCCAATGCGGGGGACACGGGTTCGTGCCCCGGTCCGGGAAGATCCCACATGCCGCGGAGCGGCTGGGCCCGTGAGCCATGGCCGCTGAGCCTGCGCGTCTGGAGCCTGTGCTCCGCAACGGGAGAGGCCACAACAGTGAGAGGCCTGCGTACCGCAAAAAAAAAAAAAAAAAAAAAGAATACACAGGCCTTCAAACTGCAGTCCTTTATCAAGACAGCATGCAAGCAGAGGAACACAAATGGGACAGAGCACCAAGAAGCACTCACAGGAATGAAAATCGAAGTATCACAGCACCCCTGCTCATGCCTAATGTTCTTTTTCTCTCCTCTGCCCTCAGGGAGGTTCTACACTGAGGCCATGTAAGAGCTGCTAATGTTTTGCACATGCTGAGGCCTTGCTAGAACATGGTAAACACCTTCCAGCCCAACACAAGAATGCTACATGTGCACATGCTCCTATAGTTCATTGACACGAGTGTGGTCTGTGTAAATAGTTTATGTATATACAGCCATTTTTCTAAGTGGGGGAGGATGGGGAACTTGTTTGAGGTCGTTTCTTTTGCAGAATCCACTGAACTGGATTCATTGTCAGGTATTTACTTAGACAAAATAAAATCTATTAGGTACCTTATAAAATATTTGTCATATTACTTCAACTAGTCAGAACTTGGTAAAACAGAGATCACATAGGTCACACATGTCAGCATTTTATTTCCAGCAACTATCAGGATTCAGTAGCTGATCAGAGGTGGCACTTTATTGGTCAAAGGTGCCGATATTGATCAAATTGAAAAGTAGTTAGTGCATAGTCAGTCACCCAACATAAGGTCATGGGACTATGCCTATTACAAAAAAAATCTGAGTGAAAGGAATGACGTGATAAGAATAGCAAATTTCAAACTGACAAAGGATTAATCTCCAAAATATACAAGCAGCTCATGCAGCTCAATATCAAAAAAACAAACAACCCAATCCAAACATGGGCAGCAGACCTAAATAGACATTTCTCCAGAGAAGATATACAATGAGGTATCACCTCACACCAGTCAGAATGGTCATCATCAAAAAATCTACAAACAATAAATGCTGGAGAGGGTGTGGAGAAAAAGGAACCCTCTTGCACTGTTGGTGGTAATGTAAATTGATGCAGCCACTATGGAGAAGAGTATGGAGGTTCCTCAAAAAACTAAAATTAGAACTACCATATGACCCAGGAATCCCATTACTGGGCATATACCCTGAAAATACCCTGAAAAATAATTCAAAAAGTGTCATGTGCCACAATGTTCATTGCAGCTCTATTTACAATAGCCAGGACATGGAAGCAACCTAAGTGTCCATCAGCAGATGAATGGATAAAAGATGTGGCACATATATACAATGGAATATTACTCAGCCATAAAAAGAAATGAAATTGAGTTATTTGTAGTGAGGTGGATGGACCTAGAGACTGCCATACAGAGTGAAGTAAGTCAGAAAGAGAAAAACAAATACCATATGCTAACACATATGTATGGAATCTAAAAAAAAAAAAAAGTTTCTGAAGAACCTAGGGGCAGGACATGAATAAAGACACAGACATAGAGAATGGACTTGAGGACATGGGGAGGGGGAAGGGTAAGCTGGGACAAAGTGAGAGAGTGGCATGGACATATATACACTACCAAACATAAAATAGATAGCTAGTGGGAAGCATCTGCGTAGCACAGGGAGATCAGCTTTGTGACCACCTAGAGGGGTGGGATAGGGAGGGTGGGAGGGAGATGCAAGAAGGAGGAGATATGGGGATATATGTAGGAGATATGGGGATATATGTATATGTATAGCTGATTCACTTTGTTATAAAGCAGAAACTAACACACCATCGTAAAGCAATTATACTCCAATAAAGATGTTTAAAAAAGAATAGCAAATTTCAGATCTAGACATTTAAAAATACCTACCAGTCATTTGGGGCAAGTGCAGCTGTTTTCTCTGTCTTTTGTCGAGAACTCATTAACTCCAAAGCCTACGTCTATTGACTAGCACGTCCTTTTATCCAACAAGTGATACCCTTTTGTTAATCTGTACCTGTGTTGAATTAATCCAAAACAATGTTAGGTGCGCTCACTTCAGCATCTGTATGGCAAGGAATAATTAATACTTTCTTCATTCTCAGGCTTTGTAGGTTGTCAAGAATTATGGGGTGGGTGGGCGGGGAGAGGAAGAGGAAGAGAAAGGGAGGAAGAAAGGAATTAATTTTTTTTTTTAGGAATTAATTTAATGCCTAAAGCATTTAAAGATTATGCTTCCTTTTTTAAGAAAAAAAGTTTTAATTGTGGTATAAAGTTTTAATTATGTATAGATAATGCATATTTATGTTAGGAGACACCAAAAAAACTACATATTTCTGTATGTATATATAAGTGTACAGATGTACTAAAAATGGTCTAGACTTTCAAGCAGTGCTGTCCAAAAATAGAAATATAACATGTGCCACCTACATGTAAAAAGGTAAAAAGAAACAGATGAAATTAAATTATATATTATTTAACCCAGTATATCCATAATATTATCATTTCAAAATGTAATCAATAAATTATATGAGATATTTTACACTCTTTTTTCATACTGGATATTCAAATCTAGTGTGTATTTTATGCCTACAAGCACGTTCCAGTTTAAACTAGGACATTTCAAGCACTCAGTAGCCTCATGTGGATGGTGATGTCCTTAGAAGACAGTGCAGGTCTGGAGGAATTCATACAAACTTCTCACTTTGGCTGCCTCTGGAAAGGAGACTGGAAGGGGGGAGAGGAAGATAAGAGTTTTAAGGGAAGAGCTTGGTGCGTTTGAATGTTTAACATGAGAATGTATCCAGTATTATCTGTGAACATTTACATTAGAAGGTAACACTTGCTCACTGTTGAAAATTTAGAAAATACAGAACCGTATAAAGAAAAGTAAGTAATCCAAAAGAAATGTTCTAATGGCTCTGCCGGGTTAAACCCACCTCAGGGAGAATCTTTTCAGCTAATTCAGGTGGGAATGACTTGCTGACCCATCTTAGGACTCAACCTTGCGTAATTCTGGTTCTAGTACTTCATTTATAGTAGCAGGAACCCCCATTTTTTCTGCTCTATAATTTCTTAAAGAGCTTAAACCTTATGTGCAAATTATCAAAGAACATATATAAACAAAGCTGTCTAGAACAGAAAGGCAATTGGTTTGGGGAGCAAAAAGCCATAAGGGTTTGCGGAGAGATGTACCCATCAAGCTCTTTACCATTTCCTAACAGTATGGCCTTGAACAAGTTACTTGCAGTTCCCTCTGTGGTAAAATGATGGTGATCAGTCCAACTACATTACAACAAGGTATTTCTATAAGGAGATAGAAACACAGGCCCCGCAGGGCCATCTAAGTTACTGACTTTGTGACAGCCCCCTGCTTCCTGCTCTGACCATAGCCCAGTTTCCTGTTTTGTTAGGGAAAAATAATAGTAATGGCCACATCAAATGGTGTAATAGGGTTAGTTGAGACATGTATATAAAGCTGTCAATACAGTCTGTCATGTAGTG